TGTTTAGGTGTGTGTCATGTATGTGTTTCACTTTGAGAGCGGGCAACTAAATTTCATTTTTGATGTGTGCCATTGTGCCCACAGTATAAAAATGACAATAAAGGTTATCTTATCTTATCTTATCTTATCTTATCTTATCTTATCTTATCTTATCTTATCTTATCTTATCTTATCTTATCTTATCTTATCTTATCTTATCAAGTTCAGTACAAGTTAGGTTTTTGAACAGGCTGACACAGACAGCCTGCTGCATGGCTTTCATTTGATCTATACTGCTGAGTTTCCTCAGGGAAAAGTCGCAGGAGAATGGATTTTCAGAATGAGACAGTCCTGGACACTGATGATTGCTGTAAGCAGATGAGACATTTTATCCTAAATGGCTCTTTCTAAATTTTTGGTTCTGAGACATGGAAAATACATATCTTCTCCTGCATGCTGACCAGAGAGCATAAATAAATGTTTTCTTTTATTTCTTCATGACCATATGGTAATAGTTTGAGATGTATTAATAATGTTTCTAAAACAGAATGAAAATGCTGCTGGGTAATAATGCCTTAATAAATTTAAGATAGTAGAATACCTACGTTTTAAAAATAAATTGACTATTACTTTCAATGCAAAAGAAAGCAGAGTTAAAAATTCCTGTTCTGATCTCCATTAGCCAACACACCTGATTATCCACCTCTCCAAACTGTCCTTTATCCTCAGTGTTGGTATCTGAATCCAGAGTTTGCTCGGTTTCTTCACTTCTCTCAGCCTCTTGAAAGGGAGTAGGTGTTATATCATTTCTATTATCTATCTCGTCAACGATGCACTTCTTAAAAAAATAAATCCTCATTAGATAAATCAATGTGGTCTGCTTTCATCATAAACAATACCTTTTCTTTCTGATTTAAAAGAGAAGTTAGTTATATTGTGTCAGTTTTAGTTCAAAGTTGCGAGGAAGAGTTAGAGGACATGCCTTTTGAGAATTAACAAAATTGTGTTAGTTGTTAGAGTTAACACAATTGTGATCTGAATTTTGAATCAGACCTGCTCACTCAAAAACCATGATACGATTATCTGCCAAATGGTTTTATCCTGGCATTTGTTTAGTTTCGATTCTTCAGTCATCTCAGCAACTGTTTCTCTTCCGTATGCAACCTTGATGGAAGGTGTGATGGAGAAATACACCCGTTATTTCAATGCATAATCTTCTAAATCCTAAATAGTAACCATGCATTTCTTATATCAACAATGCTTTCTGATTTGGTTAAAAAATAGATAGATAATTCAACTTTTTAACAGTCAACATTCAAATCTTCAATATTTGAAGGAAGAATACTCTCCCGCCCTAATAATTTATCCTTAAAAAACAGACTTAGATTTGCTGACAACAGGCTGAGGTGTTGTTGTCTATTCTTCCTTTGTGGAGAGGATTGTCTTAAATTCAGAGATAAATATACTGCTCAAAAAAATAAAGGGAACATTTTACCATGGAACTGAAGGGGTTTGCGTTCCCTTTATTTTTGTGAGCAGTATATATGATGTGCATGCAATTTGCACTGTCCTAGAAAACATTTAAAATCTGATTTGAACCACGAGGTGGCAGTGTCAGGTTACAAAGGACCTGAACTAGGAATCCTATTGGCTTCTTGGCTCCTCTCTAGGGAGTTCACTAAGGACTGTTTTTCTCTTGGGCATGTTAATGTGCATTTCTCCAGTCCATGACTTGGCAGAAGAGTGTGCTGATATAGAGTGTGCTGAGCCCCGTTGAGCAGCAATGCAAGGCTAGTATGTGTTGCTGTCCTTAACAGTTTTAATGAAGACAAATTAAGGAAAGCAATTGGTGAATTTTTCTGGCTTTGTTTCCTCTACCATTAAATACAATCTGCTAGTAGGAGACCATCTAGCAATTGCTCTCTCTAATGCAGTGGTTCTCAACCTTTTTAATGCCGCGACCCCAACCGGTCATAAGTCGAGGACTAAACCGGTCGTAAGTCGAGGACTAAATCGGTTGTAAGTCGAGGACTACCCAACTGGTCGTAAGTCGAGGACTTTCCCTACCCGGGAGCGCCGCGCATGCGTGGTTCCGCCCCCTGCACCGGCAAGGCGTAGCTGGCAAGCAGCAGAGACGGAGCAGGCCAACCACCAGCTGGCCCAGCTCAAGGGAGGTAAGGCACTTGCCGGAAAAGGGGAAAAAAATGGCGGACAGCCTTGCTTGGCGACCCCCGTGAAATGGTCGATCGACCCCAAATGGGGTCACGACCCATAGGTTGAGAACCGCTGATCTAATGCATTGGATGGATGGGTTGGGCAAATAAGGGCGAGTGCTTTGAGCAATGGGCTTAGTTGTTTAGTTGTTTAGTTGTCCAACAGTTTATAAATATGGAGGTGCTCCTCCAGTTTCATAATGTGCCCCTCCTTTCACATTTTCAACCAGGCTAGTTTTGGACATGAGTTTAGTGCTCTTTCAAAAGTAATTAGGCCTGTGTTGGAAGAAGTGACAGGCGTGGAGGTGGGTTCATGAGAAACATCAGGGTGCTCTTTCCCACTCACCCCACAACTTTTTCCCACGTCTGTGACTTGTCAGTTAGGCTAGGCGCAGACGAGGACTCTGGGAAGGAGGGGGGGGGGTCCAGACTGATAATGATTGTTGCAGGAACAAGTGCTGCAAAGGAAAGGCAGTGCTGGCAATGACCGATAAGGGAATAGGCAAAATGGGTTGCCTAATCCCTGGCCCCGTCAGGGAGCGAAGTTGGGGTTGCTTTCTGTGCCCTGGGAAAGAGCTGCAGCCAGACAAAAACGCTTCCCACCACCACGTCCCTCGTGCAATCATACATTCACTCACAACTGTACTCACAAGCATCCAAGCCTATGATAATGGAGCCACACTCTGATGTTTCAAGGGGAGGGGGCGATATCTAGTGGCAGCTTCACATGGCCCAGGCCCTTACCTTACCATGGCAAATGCTAAGACAGAGGGGTGTGTGTAGGAGGAAAAGTGATAACCAAATAGGGAAGTAGAGGCAACACCTGGAAACTGGTAGCTATTACAAGCAGGCAAGAGGATTCAATTGCCAGAATCACAAGCTACGTTGGGCAGCATATCCTGGTGAGGCTCTTGCCTGGAGCTTGGAACTTTGCTGGAAGCTCAGTAGCAACCAGAAAAGGAGCATCCACACTGAAACAGCCCCTCATCCCACCTACTGCAGGGCCTTTTGAAAAAAAATAATAACCGTTGTTTGCTACTTTATAGATGTTAAGATTTCATTTGAACTGAACATTAAAGAATTGAGTATTGAAGGACACAGAGCACAAAGGGCTGAGTAGCAGCAGCAGCAGCAGCTCCCAAGTCCTAAAAGGATAGAGTTGGCCCAGAACAGTAACCTGTTGTTGGGGAAAGTGTGTGGTGCAATAAAGCACTGTGTACAGATTTGCTATGCTGTGGTGTATCCAGTGCTTGGAAAGCAAAGAACCTTCACACAGCCCAAGAAATAATAACCAGAAAATGGCCATAAGAAGTCCTCCTAGCCAGAAGCATTAAACAACAACAACCCTGCAATGCATTTATTGGTGACAGAATCAGCTACACATAAGCTGCCAGAATGCAGTTTTCTCTCCTGTTTCGGACTATCTTCTGAGCACTACAAGACTAGAACTCCCGTCACTAAAGCTGTACGTAGGAAAATTCATATATGAAATCTAACAAGTATTATAAAAGCATTGGTAAGGCACTACATTGGTAGAGGCCAATGACAAAGTCAGATGTCCATTCTCCTCTATAGCCCTACTAAAAATGGGAATGGATGGTAGTGCCCAGTAATCAGAAGGGGGTTTCCTACACCAGCTTAAAAGGACCAAAAAAGCAGGGCAGATCCCAGCCTCTAGCTGCATGATCAACCACATCAGCAGTATTTGGTTCCCAGAGGTTTGCCACCATAACCTTGGCTTGCTCCTGTGACTGCAGTCTTTCTAGCTTTATCCCAACCAACATTAGGATGCTGCATACTCTCAGAAATCTAATAAAAGTTTAAATCTTCTCCATTGCTCTTAATAAGGTAAATAACTGGCACTCACCTGCTGAAGACTCGATAGGGCCATAATGGCCAAACACAGAGGAACCAGCCAAGTCTTCATGATGGCAGAAAGCCTACCAAAAAAATGACTCTCGTTTTTAATCCCAACCAAAAATGGAGGCCTCTCTCCTACTTCTCTGATCTTCTTCCTTGAAAAGTATCAAAACAGTTTCTTGCTGGAGGAATTCTGAAGAGCAGCCACTGGTTTTCTCCCCGTCTCAAATAACTCCTTGTTGTTCTTCTCTGGCTGTTGGCATGTTCCTCTCTCCCATTTTTCGCAATCTCTGATCATGTGATTAAGCCCAACTTAGTTTCACTCTCTCTGGGGGAATTCCAGTAGTCCAGCAGATCTCGCTGAAAAGAAACAATTAGAAAAATATGATGAAATAAAGAGATTTTTCAAACAAGGAGGGGAAACAGGAAGTTCTCTGATGGAAGAAAAACAAGAGAACAAGAAGCAACTTTCTTTGTGCAAACTTCTATAGATAATAGAATCAAACAGTTGTGACATATATTACCTTACCTTGAGAGAATGGCACAAGAGGGAGTGAAATTGGAGGACTATGATCAGTCCATTGGTTGGCTTTAAACAGAATCAGTTAAAAATTAAAGATGATTGATTCCCCTCTCAGTGAGGATTCCTGTAAATCAAGATGGTGGGGATAAAATAATGGGCCAGCCTGTAGAATATTCTATCATGCAGAAAAAAGAAAGATAACATTGGTAAACAATAGCAAGCTGTACCTGCAAACTGCTTATTATGTTCTCACAACTTATTTTAAAAAGATTGCTTAAATCAAGTAAATGTTTTTGCATAGTGTTAAGTTTGTTTTGAGAGGGCTCTGTGAACTCGGAAGATAATTTAGTAAATGACATTTTGTAGCTGTAAACGTGATCTGGAAATGCAACCTATAGGCTACAGATTTTTATATGGAAATAACTTCAATGAAGAGAAGTAACAACACGCTAAAAATCTCCACGTCTCATAATCATTCAACTGTGTATATCCAGTTTGCACTTTATGATCCTTGGTTGCAAACATGTAGCAAAATGCTATGATATATATGTGATTTATATTCCTATTCAATTATATGTATTAAATCTCTTCTTTGTAGCAAATCCAGCACCAGTTCCTCCTTTTCTTATTTCACTGCACAAGCGTGTTCACTTGTTCTTGATCTGAGTTTTCACGTAACTCCCTCTGTTGAATTTCTCAAGTTCCTCCAAAGTCTTAAAACCCCTTTATTCTACTAGCACTTAAAATATTCTTAATAGGTGCCAGCACCAATATTGTGCACAAAGTGTCAGAAATGATTTCTTTGGAAGTCTTGTGCCAAGAGAAGACAGAAAATAGTACTTTAAAATTGGAATGGCTAAGGAGTGGGTGAGGAAAGAGATGAAGATGAAAATTTAGGAGGACATTTCCTCTAGATATGGCTAGCAGGCTATGTTGGTGCATTCAAGAACATGTCATAAAGTGAATGGTTTGGTTTGGTTTTAGCATGTTGCGTAAACCCGGTCAATTATGGATTATTAGACAATAAATAATGGATACACGGGTGTGGCTTTTGTAAAATGTGAACTCAGCCAGAACATCCTTAAAAAGATTATAACTAGAACACTGTGTTTAGCATTTATTTAGATAGTTTTCAAGTATTACAACCAATACTCTTATGCTATCTTTATATCATGAAAGGGCCACTTTCTCAGCTGCATTAAACAAAATGGCTGTGATCCACAAAAGCTTATAAAAGTGAATATATCTGTCTTCACCGTGCCATAAGAAATATTTTTGTTTCTCCTGCAAAAGATTCTTGATTCTTCTGCGCACCAGGGCAACTCCTCCCCTAGACCGGCAGCACTCTTGAATGTCCTCATGAAGTTATGAACTTCTGGGAGTCTTCATCCATTAAGCCATTTAGCTTTAGAAGGTAACTGCTGCTGCTACTCTTGCATTTTACATCATCCTACGTTCATCCATAATCCATGGTTTACAAACTATAATAGGGGGAAGAAGATGTGCAGATCAGCTGAGCATAAGAGTGATACAGTTACCAGTGGACTATTGCATAGTTATATCTGAGGATAAAACTAGACCAGAGAATTATCCCATGGCTTCTAAAGGAAAAAACAATCACAGAATAACGGAGTTGGAAGGGACCCTGGAGGTCTTCTAGTCCAACCCCCTGCTCAAGCAGGAGAACCTATGCCACTTCAGATCCTATATCACTAATGTTAAGCTTCATTTGCATTCTCTAGAAATCGGCTATGGTGCTCATTTAGAGCAGGATAAATGGCCCTCCATTCTGTTCCTACTATGATCATTCATGGGAAAGACTGAAATTAGAATTTCAGCAACCGAGCAGTATGCAGATTTAAACAGATCTGCACACAATATTCCAGGTATGGTTGTACAATTTATTATTAACTGGAAAGTCATAAATGAATGAAGTTCCCAATTCTATGCTACTTTTCAATCTTCCATAAAAGGACTTTAAAAAAAGAAGACAGCAACCAACTGACAAGTTAAATTTTAAGGCCTGTAAAAGATATTAGTTAGAAAATTAGCAATTTTACATTTGGATTAAGTGTGAACTCAAATATAGATGTCAATATTTGCTTGGTTTTAAATGTTATTAGTGAAGTTATTTTCATCTTAAGAATTCATATATACATGGATGCATGGTTTGTTTCATATTAGCTAAGTATGTGGTATGAATCTAGAATTTCTGGTTTAACCCATGGTTTATGGTTTAGTATTTTGTGCTAATCCAGCCAGACACTTAGTTTAATGTAATTTATGATTCCAGCCTCAGGTTCTAAGACTCTATCTCATATTTTCTGTAATGAATAAATACAATTATCTCACCCTCCTTAGTAAGCCATTGGTATCCAATAGTCCAAAGGCCTCATTTGATTGTTTCTGCCTCCGAGTTATTTAATGAAACAATGAAGTCATTATTATTAATGAATATGTCAACAAGTTCTTCAAAATCATTTAAAAAAAATCCTTATTGCCTACTTGCCTTTCTTTTGTTCATACCTATGCTGTTTTTGTTATCTGCATTTGACCAAACTTCCATTTTGTGAAATGATCTTTGAGTGTTTCCATGTATCTAATAGTTTTCTTGACATTGCTCATTAAACATGCTGGTGATTTCCTAGACTTTCTTGATTTGCATTATACTTTCTTATTTCATATTATGTTGACATGCTTTTTTACTTCCTTTCTACCAATTTCCTCATTTTTGAATATTGCCTCTTTTGAAATGAAATGTGGCTAAAAGGTATTTCCATGGCAGTTTTCAACTCTTTCGTGGGCTTCTTTTTGTCACTTCTGTTCATTTTCATCTCTCACTAGGTCCTGCACATGACTTAGGGCAGGGGTCTTCAAACTTGGCCCTTTTATGACTTGTGGACTTCAAGTCCCAGAATTCCTCAGCCAGTGTGCCTGGCTGAGGAATTCTGGAAGTTGAAGTCCACAAGTCATAAAAGGGCCAAGTTTGAAGGCTCCTGTCTTAGGGTTAGCTTCCTTTTGGATGATTCCCTCATCTTATAAGGCAGTGTTCCTCAACCATGGTATCTTTAAAATATGTATGTAGACTTCAATTTCCAGAATTGCTAGGAGGGTATCCCTTGCATGTAGCCTTTTGACATGAATTGTTTTTGAAATAGCATGAAGATCTACAAATGCCTTTGCTTCTAAAACTTCATATCTTGGTTTAACTGCAGAAGCACCTTCTTTAGCAATTTTACACTTCAGTATGTTATTTTTTTTTCATCTCTGACCCTGCACCTGGTTCATTTCAGCAAAACCCACAAGGTATGTGCAGTATGCACATAGATTCAGGGATGCATGTTTTCATAAATCTCAAGAGTTATCTATAGTTTAATGTCAGTTTTTCTCCTTCTGATCATGACTGTGTTGAAATATACTGTTTCTTTTTCACAATTTCAAAATTTAACAAAACTGTGTATTATTTTATCACCATGAGTGGAAAAACAGGATCTAACTTCTCACAGCTTATGATTGGGATTTGTCTCTACCAAACCAGAGTCATTGTTTCCATTCAAAATCTTCTGCAAACATGGTGTCTCTGACTCACCTTCTGTTCTTACAAAAATATGTCAAACATGCAATCCACCCTTTGTCCATGTGTGATCTATGATGACATCTCAAACATTATGCAAGCTCTGAAAGAGATGTTTTAACTAGACTTGGCAGCCAGATTTCAGAAGGAAGAGGAGGAGGAGGATTTATATGGGGTGCAGAAAGTGTTTCCTTCTATATAAATAATTTGTTATTATTGAAAGTAGACCATTTCCCTTTGTCTTTCATAATTAAATAATTACCGTTATGAAGCAGGGTTGAAGCATTCTTTACTAACACTTACTTCTATGTAATATTACAGCTTCTGTTTCACTTTTCTCCCATCAAGAGATAATACTTTTTCTCTGGTGTGGTATCTGGACCTTTGGACATTGGTAGGTTATTAGGTGATTTGGTAGTGGCACTTATATTAGTAAACACTTCTACGCCAAAGCATTTAAAAATGCTGGTATTTCCCCTGAAGCTCTGCTTAGACCTTATCAGAAAATGTGCAAGATGCATATATGAAACCACTAGTGCTTTTAAGGATAAAGAAAGGAAGAAGGGAACAATAAATCAATACTATATGCATGTACATAACATGTACATATCTGAATTTTTTCTGCCTAAGGCAGGGAAGAACTGTGAAACTTGACAACTGGAATGATGAGAGAGAGAGAGAGAGAGAGAGAGAGAGAGAGAGAGAGAGAGAGAGAGAGAGAGAGAGAGAGAGAGAGAGAGAGAGAGNAGACCTGCAAGCAGAGCAAATAATATCCTTGAATTGTGAAAGGAATTGTGAAGAGTAGGAAGGGGCCATGCAGATCAAATCCAATCCAGTGAAGGAAATCAAATTAAAGCATTACAGTAGTTAGCTTCTGCCTGAATACGCACAGTGAAAGAGAGACCATCACTTTTCACAATACTGTACTTGCTTCCATTGTCAACTGATATCATTGTTAGCAAGCTTTCCTAAGAATCAGTAAGAAATTCCCTTTCATCATCATCATAATTTTAGCCATTGTCTAGACATCCTAGAATGTGAAGTGAAATGGGCCTTAGGAAATCTGAGCAACAACAAAGCTAGTGGAGGTGACAGTATTCCAGCTGAACTATTCAAAATTTTAAAAGATGATGCAGTAAAAGTGCTACACTCAATTTGCCAGCAAATCTGGAAAACTCAACAGTGGCCACAGGATTGGAAAAGGTCAGTTTACATTCCAATTCCAAAGAAAGGCAATGCCAAAGAATGTTCAAACTATCACACCATTACACTCATTTCACCTGCTAGTAAAGTTATGCTTAGAATCCTACAAGCTAGACTCCAGCAGTATGTGGATCGAGAACTACCAGAAGTAGAGGCAGGATTTCGAAGAGGCAGAGGAACTAGAGATCAAATTGCCAACATACGCTGGATCATGGAAAAAACTAGGGAGTTCCAGAAAAACATCTACTTCTGCTTCATTGACTATGCTAAAGCCTTTGATTGTGTGGATCACAACAAATTGTGGCAAGTTCTTAAAGAGATGGGAGTACCAGACCATCTTATTTGTCTCCTGAGAAACCTATATGTGGGTCAAGAAGCAACAGTGAGAACTGGACACGGAACCACTGATTGGTTCAAAATTGGGAAAGGAGTCCGGCAAGGCGGTATACTGTCGTCCTGCCTATTTAACTTATATGCAGAGCACATCATGAGAAAGGCAGGGCTAGATGAATCAAAAGTTGGAATTAAGATTTCCGGGAGAAATATCAACAACCTAAGATATGCAGATGATACCACTCTAATGGCAGAAAGTAAAGAGGAACTAAAGAGCCTCTTGATGCGGGTGAAGAAGGGGAATGCAAAGGAAACTCAAGCAAAGGCGTGAAACTCAACATTAAGAAAACCAAATCATGGCATCCGGCCCTCTCAATTCCTGGCAAACAGATGGGGAAGAAATGGAAGTAGTGACAGATTTTATTTTCCTGGGCTCCAAGACTGCCGCAGATGGGCATTGCAGCCAAGAAATTAAAAGACGCTTGCTCCTGGGGAGGAAAGCTATGGCAAATCTAGACAGCATACTAAAAAGCAGAGACATCACCCTGCCAACAAAAGTGCGTATAGTCAAGGCCATGGTTTTCCCAGTTGCAATGTATGGCTGTGAAAGTTGGACCATAAGAAAGGCTGAGCGACAAAGAATTGAGGCCTTTGAACTATGGTGCTGGAGAAGNCTGGAGGAACGTTGTCCATGGGGTTGCGATGGGTCGGACATGACTTCGCAATTAACAACAACAACAATCCACTGTAGGATGAAGGCCTTTTCCACATGTTTCCAACCAAAACTGTCCTGAGCTTTCTTTTGCCAATTGGGCCCGTAGTACTTGTTGATGTGGTCAATCAATCTTGTTTTAGGTCTCTTTTGTGGATGCTTTTTATCAAGTGGGATCCATGACTGCCTTAATCCATCTGCCATCAGTTCTTCTTGCCATGTGACCAGCCCATTTCTATTTCAATTCTTTTTCTCTCTTGATGATATAGTATACTTTCGTTTGTTCTCTAATCCATGTGCAGGTCTTTCTATCTTGTGATGCCGAGCATGTATCTTTCTATGGCTCTTTGCGCCACTCATAGCTTTTGTATTGATTGTGAGGTGAGCGTCCATGTTTCACTGGCATATGTTAGAGCACGTAGCACACACTGATGGAAAACTTTTCTCTTCAAGCCTAGGTGGTTGTTCTTGAAAATTATGCTTAGCTTGCCGAATGACTGCCAACCACATTTAATAAGCCATTCAATTTCCTTTATTGTATTACCTTCCATTGAGATCCGTTGGCCAAGGTATATATAGTGGTCTACTATGTCTAGTTCTTCTCAGATATTTTTTTTTCTTTCTTTGGTGAATTTCCCTTTATATAATTCCCTTTATGTAATTTAAACTGATAATCTCCTATTCTGCTCTCTGAGATAATAGAGAACAGAACTTGACCTTCTATACGACCATTTTCAATTGCTGGAGAGAACATATACATTTTCCAGCCAGGAATTACACTGAGCATTAGGCATACCATACTGTTTATTTTAACTAGTTAATGGAGACATACGCTTCTGGTGTAATGTTACTTCTAGTCTAGTGTAACCTTATTATTACTTTTTAATATTAGCAGTTTTTTGACTAATATGCTGTATGTATTATAAACTATAGAGTCCAATTGGAATGAGGAATGAAGAATAAAACAAAACATGCAATGCAATGTCTTATGCAGTTCTCAAGCTAATGAAAACTGCTTACCTGTGATCTATATCCACGGATAATATTTTTAACGACTTAAAATTGTTTACTCCAGAGTACATCTGCTTGCTTTCTCCATGCTGTGGCTACTATATCAGACTTGCAGAAATCCTAAAGTTCACTAGATGGTACCAACACATTAAGAGGGTTTTTTTTTAATCTCCTTGCTACCATTTAGTGATTATCTGGGACTTTGGTTTTGCAGCTCAGATATGCTAGCTGTAACCATTGGACATCCTCATATTTTAAACCACAATTCCTATCTTCTTCAGCCAGTTTGATGGAAAGCTGACATACGGATTCTGCTCCTGCTTCTACACAAAACCGTTCGAACAACGTTCTTCGAAGTAGTTTATGAAAACGAAACCTACACCGAGAAGGCAATGCATATGCAAGAACGGGAATTATTTTTTGACTCACTCACATCTCACTATTTACGATGCACCCTGAGGAGTAAAAAGAAAGGGAAAAAAGAAAGGGGCCCATTATCTTTTCCAGACGCGCTCCTCATAATAGCTCGGCACAGAAGAAACAGAGTTAGAAACTGCCTGGGACATAATCTCGCTAGGTTGTACTAGACTAGAGAATGTTTCTCGGGTCTTTCATTTTATTCCTTTGTTTAAGGTTTCATTGTGTTGCCTTCCGCTGCCGAGAAACTCTGAATACAGGGACTGTAGTAGCCGGGATTTTAATTGAATCTGGTGTTGCTAGGGAAAGGGGCAGAGTTGATCGCTGAGCGGAAAGACCGGCGTCCGACCAAGAGAGCGCAGCGCAGCGCAGAAGCAGCAGCAAGGGATCCTTTGGCGGAGGCGACCCTACTCCTCCTCTCCCTGCCTGGTGCGCGAGAGGGATCGGGGGGGGGGGCAGCGCATTCGTGATCGGATCGAAGGAAAATGGCGGCAGCCAGCCGGAGGGTGGCGAAGGTAAGCAGGTTTACGCGGAGGTCGGGAGACCCTTTTAGGGCTTCGAGGCATCTCGAGGAAGGCGGAAGGGGCGCGAAAGGAGAGGCGCGTTGTGCTTCAGAAAAGGTCGCAAGCGATTGAGGTTGCTAAGACGCGCCTCTTTGGAGGAGGAGGAGGAGACGAGGGGTCTCGAACCGGCACCTCTGGGGGGAGACCCTCCGGCATCTCCAGGAGGAAACAGTAAGAGATGCTTGCCAGGCAACCAGGCAGTTCCCGAGGCTTAACCGGGATGGGGTGGGCAGGCAGTTAGCAGACTCCGGCAAGCTGCCCCTTTGGCGGGGTTTACGGTGGGGTTTATTTTTAGAGAGTTTCGGCAGAAAATGTTTAGCTTCAGCCTTTAAATACTTAGTTTCAGTTTTGGCTTGGAGAGGATAGCTTTTAACGGGATGCTCTCCGATACGTGGCCTGGAGGAGCATCTGTCTGGAGTGTCCTCGCATGTTTTAATAATTTGGTGCCCAGGATGCCTCCTTTAAGAGCCGGAGAGGGATAATTTTGAGCCTACCGGCTGCGGGTAGCCCTATTTTGAAGGAAAAATGCTTGAAACCAAGGCCGCTAGGGGAAAATAGCTCTTCGATGCTTTCGGTTTCGTTTACTGTGGACTGGAAAGCTTTGCCGAGGGAGGAGGAAACAGAACCAAACTCAAAAGCTGCCTGGAGAATGTGAAGTGACCTGCGACTCAGAAAAAGCCATAAAGCGGATCTGTGCGCTACTAGATATAAGCCAATTGCGTTTTACAGTGACTTGAAAATGAAAAGAAGAGTCGCTCCGGATTCATTGGATTTCAACTCACATAATTCCATCTTAAATCCAGGATGAGAGCACTAGGTTGGGGGAAGGCTAGCATAGAAACATGCCAGCGTTGCTGGAAAATGTGTCCGGCTACTGTCAGCATTGGTTTTGGAACTATTTTGTTGTGTGTATTATTATTATTATTATATTATTATTATTATTATTATTATTATTATTATTATTATTATTATTATTATTATTATTATTATTATTATTATTATTATTATTATTATTATTATTATTATTATTATTATTATGGCTCATCGCACAGTCAGCCAGATGTTCAGACTGGATTTGGCATTTTGTCTACCTATTGAGTCCTTACCCAGGACCTGGGATAGGCAGATGTGGATGTTTGATGGTATTACAGATATCATCGCAAGATGGAAGCAGTTCCTAGGAACGCCGCCTTCTGCAATTGACTAATAGCGAATTTGTCAATGCCAATGGTGTTCAAGTGGTGCTCCAGTTGTTTTGGGATTGCACTCAAGGCGCCTATTACTATTGGTGCTACCTTTGCTTGCTTTTGCCACAGTCTTTCTATTTCTATTTGTAGGTCTTTGTATTTTGTTATCTTCTCCAGTTCTTTCTCGTCTATTCTGCTGTCTCCAGGCATTGCCATGTCCACTATCCAGACTTTTTTTGTCTTTCTTATTGACAATTGTTAAATCCGGGGTGTTTTGTTGCAGGTGCTTTTCTGTTTGAATTCTGAAGTCCCAGAGCAGTTTAATTTTATCATTTTCTATGACTTTCTCTATTTTATGATCTCACCAGTTTTTGCTTACAGGCAAATGATATTTCTTGCAGATCTTCCAATGCACCATTGTTGCTACTTTGTCATGCCGCTGCTTGTAGTCAGTCTGTGCAATCTTCTTGCAGCAGCTTACCAGGTGGTCCACTGTTTCTTCAGCTTCTTTGCATAGGTGGCACTTACTGTCTGTTGCTGTCTTCTCAATTATTATTATTATTATTATTATTATTATGATTATTATTATTATTATTATTACTACTACTACTACTACTATTACTACTATTAGTAATACTATTACTATTACTATTTTGTTCATTTTTGTCTTTTCAGGAACTTGATGCCATTAAGAAATCAGGGTTACAATGCTTCCGGGATATTCAAGCCGATGTGACCAATATTCTCCTTTGGAAAGGACTTCTATTGCCGGTGAGCTCAAGGGAGCTAAATAAGAACAATTGGGACTGAGAGCTTGCAGGAAATTGCAATGTACCTGTCAGAATAAACTAGCATGCTGATTTGAGTTGTCATGAAAACACCACTAAGTATCAGAGTCTTAGTGGAGTGGATTACATTTTCAACTTGGGGTACTAAAAGGCTTTACTTGTTCACCATTTGGGAAGGGGCTGACATCTTTAATTCTTTAGTTTGGTCTGCAAGGAAAACTGCATTCCCTAGCCTCCTGCTATGAATCATGCTTGTTCCTGTCCTTATACCCAGGATAAGCCTCCATACAATAAAGGAGCCTTCTGGATTGAGATAGAATTTCCATGTGAGTATCCACTCAAGCCTCCCACTGTAAGCTTCAAAACCCAGATCTACCACCCCAATGTGGATGAGGAGGGTAAACTCTGCCTGCCAATCATCAGCAAGACGGACTGGCAGCCTTATACAAAGATAGACCAAGGTATGACATGGGCTGGATGGATAGAACTGGGGCTGCTGGATGGCTTTTATTCAATTGCCATTTTGTGTATGTTTTTCTCTGCTTCAAGGAAGTGTCGCTTTTATTCTTTTCTGTAGTAATTCAGGCCTTGATCCATCTGCTAAATATGCCTGAATTACAAAGCCCGCTACGTCCAGACTTGGCCAAGGAGTTCGCGGAAGATCATGAGACATTCCTGTTACGGGCAGAAGATCACACCAGCAATTTCAGTGAGAAGCGGCCTTGCGAATGACCTGTTCTCCCCGACTGGAGTCCACCTTACATAATTGCCTATTTTATTTTTTTTAGCCCCACAAATCTTTGTGCATGATGAAAACTTGGATTTTTCTGACATTAAAGCCAGAACTATTCATTTGGGAAACATTCATACCCTTGAACAAACATAGATTCAAAGATGAGACACGGATTCGTTTTATTAAGTTAAAGGTCTGTGTCTGAATATGAATGAAAACTTGTGTTGCTTTCCCCATCCTGAAGCTAAAATCTATTTCCTGAAAGGGTAGTTCTGGCTTTAAACCCAGTACCTGGATTTCAATAAATTTCAAATCAAACTGAAGAGATGACACAGTTTTCTAAAACAGAACAATATTTTCCTCCAAAAGAGCAGAACAAATTAGGACATTTGCAAAGTTTCAGGAGTACATCAGAGAAGTAGAGTTAGAATTCCACAGAGAAAACTTAAAGTACTAAGTTTTCTATTTTCCAAATACAGAAAAACTGGGTTGATAAGAGGAGGGGAAAAGCTGAGAGATTTGCTGTGAAAGCAAAGAATGACTTATCAGGAATAGACCAATAGGAATGCTTCTGGAAAAAAGAATATGGCATTTGATGCTTTGCTATATGCCATTCTCTTGCTAGTATATTTACCTTGGATGAAGAAAATAAACACATTCTTAATTCTAATTTATTCTTCCTTATATGTTTCCATTTTCATAGTCACTCCTATAATACTTTAGGATTGTTTCCAAATATTTCCTTTTTGATTCAAAGTTTAATTGATTTAATGTATTGCAGTTTCTCTCTTTCTTTCTTAAGCTTTAGTAATTGCATAGGTCAGTCGTGGCGAACCTATGGCACGGGTGCCAGAGGCGGCACTCAGAGCCCTCTCTGTGGACACGCGTGCCGACGCCCCACTCCTAGGCCTTCAGCTGGGTTTTATAAAACCTTTTCGCTTTAGGCCTCCTGCAAAAAAAAAAGTTCAATCAATCAGTCAATTTCAACTTCTTGCGGGAAAAAAACTCTTGCAAAGTGGGAATTGATTGATTGAAGTTTTTAGTCCCACCCAGTCTGCTGTTACCACTGCAGCCACACCCACCTGGCACCCGACAATGCATAAGTGGGTTTTGGGTTACAGTTTGGGCACTCGGTCTCTAAAAGGTTCGCCATCACTGGCATAGGTTGTGTTGCTATTTAACTCCCCACCCCATCATCATGAAATTATACTTTGAGCTGATTTTCTGTTCTGTAATAAATGTAGACAATAATTTATTGCAAATAATGATACATTACTGCCATTACAGATTCTTGGTGTCTTATTGTTTTCTTTTCATTTGCTGTATGTGAATTTGATTCTAACACCTATGCAGAGTTCTAACAACTGTTAACAATGCATGTGGCTTCACAAACATATGTATTGTTAACAAAACGACATTGTGTAACTGATTGTATTGGTATGATATCAGTTTTGTATCGGTAGGCAAAGCTTGTAGGCAAAGCACATAAGTACCCCTAGAAAGCGAGAAAGGGACCATTATTTCAGGCATTATTTTTTGCCTGTCCGAAGTTTCTTCTTGCTACAATGAATCAAATATCCAGTATCTGCTAAGGAGCAGTTCTGTGAAGTATAACAGAATTTTGCTAATCTTGGTATGTCTAGTTTAATAAAAAGAAGGACTGAGGATGACATAATAGTGTTCCAATATTTGAGGGGCTACCACAAAGAAGAGGGGGTCAACCTATTCTCTAAAGCACCAGAAGGTGAGACAAGCAATGGATGGAAACTAATCAAGGAGAGAACCAACCTAGAACTAAGGATATATTTCCTGACAGAACAATTATCAGTGAAACGACTTGCCTCCAGAAGTTGTGGCTGCTCTAACACTGGAGGTTTTGGTCACCGCGATGTAAAAAAGATGTTGAGACTTTAGAAAGAGTACAGAGAAGAGCAACAAAGATGATTAGGGGACTGGAGGCTAAAACATATAAGGAACGGCTGCTGGAATTGGGTATGTCTAGTTTAATGAAGAGAAGGACGAGGGGGGACATGATAGCAGTGTTCCAATATCTCAGGGGCTGCCACAAAGAAGAGGGAGTCAAGCTATTTTCCAAAGCGCCTGGAGGCAGGACAAGAAGCAACAGGTGGAAACTAATCAAGGAGAGAAGCAACCTAGAACTAAGGAGAAACTTCCTGACAGTTAGAACAATTAACCAGTGGAACAACCTGCCTCCAGAAGTGGTGAATGCTCCAACACTGGAAATTTTTAAGAAGAGACTGGACAGCCATTTGTCCGAAATGGTATAGGGTTTCCTGCCTGAGCAGGGGGTTGGACTAGATGACCTTCAAGGTCCCTTCCAACTTTACTATTATTATTTTTATTAAGAAGAGGTTGGACAACCATTTATAGGGTTTCCTGCTTGAGCAGGGCAGGGGGTTGGATTAGAAGATCTCCAAGGGCCCAACTCTCATTCTGTTATTCTGGTGGAGGTGTTAAGAAAGTATCGATCAGATTTTGAGATACCTCAGTTGGGGTGGAGTGGCCATAGAAGACAGCTATTGTACATCTCTAGAGAGGGCTCTGGAGGGGGCAAAGCAAGTCTATTTTGATGCTTTCCCTCCTGCTCCAGTGCTTAAACATGGGCCAAAATACAAGCAGTGATTCTTGGTCAGTGCGGTGGGGTTGGGGGCCGCTGTTGTCTAGTTGAATCATTCTCATAAATCACAATGATGTACACCGACTCCGGTGTTCAGTATCTCCAAAGATAGTATTAGTTATTGATACTGCTAAGTATCTATTAAGAGTATTACAAAGGGGAAGTCAGAAGCAAAATATTCACCTACAGCAGTGGTGGCGAACCTATGGCACGGGTGCCAGAGGCAGCACTCAGAGCCCTCTCTGTGGGCACGCACACCATCGCCCCAGTCCTAGGCCTTCAGCTGGGTTTTATAAAATCTTTTTGCTTTAGGCCTCCGCCGTTGTGTGCAAAAAAAAGAAAAGGTTCAATCAATCAGTCAATTTCAACTTCTTGCAGGGAAAAAAAAGATCTTGCAAAGTTGGAATTGATTGATTGATCATTTTAGTCCCACCCAGTCTGCCATTACCACCGCAGCCACGCCCACCCAATTGACCACACCCAGCCAATGGGCCACACCCACCCGGCACCCGACGATGCATAAGTGGGTTTTGGGTTGCAATTTGGGCACTCGGTCTCTAAAAGGTTCGCCATCACTGACCTACAGTGTTTTCAATAGTGCTACTTTCTTGGCTTTTTGTGGTATCTTTAAATAACAAGTAGTGGAAACTCTGGCACTCGGGTGCAGAGATTCAAAAAGATCTCTCTAAAATCCTTTTCCTTATTACAGTGAGGGAAAAAATATTTGATCCCCTGCTGATTTTGTACATTTTTCCACTGACAAAGAAATGATCAGTCTATCATTTTAATGGTAAGTTTATTTTAACAGTGAGAGACAGAATAACAACAACAAAAATCCCCCCCCCCCCAAAAAAACGGATTTCAGGGGATCAAATAATTTTTTCCTTTACTGGTATCAAAATAAGAATAAAGCTGTACAGTTAGTGCTCAGTATATCAATGACGAAGAATTACCCATAAAAAAATCCAATATATTTAAAGGGTTAATTCTTCATCAGTAATATGCTGAGCACTATTTGTACAACTTTTTGTAACTTCCTTGTCTACTTACCGGTACTACATTTTTGCATCAATTCTTTTTTGTTCCTTTTCCTCTTTCACTTATTCCAACAAAAAAACAGTTTAAAAACTATCTCCAAAGATTATACTGCTTTTAGTTTTAGTTCAGCATATCTGACCTAGGAGAGAAAAAGCAGTGAATTGCCTCTCATTACTCAGAAAGCACAGCTCCTTTGGGCTTGAGCTGAATGGCTTCAGGCAGCACGAGTCTCACTGAGGCATGTGGTTGTTGAAGCTTCTTAGAGTAGGACTTTAGCAACAGAGCAGAGTAAACCACTAGATCAGGTGTCCTCAAACTTGGCCACTTTTAAGATTTGTGGACTTCAACTCCCAGAATTCCCCAGCCAGCCATGCTGGCTGGGGAATTCTGGAAGTTGAAGTCCACAAGTCTTAAAGTGGCCAAGTTTGAGGACCCCTGCACTAGATCTTGCTTTCCTAGGACTTTCCTACACTTGCTTTCTTTTCAAGCTCCCTCCTTTTTAAAGTTAAGTTTCTCCTCTGAATGTACTTGCATTGGCCACCAGGAAATAGGCCTAAAAAAGGAGTATGTATTTCTGCAAACTAAAATGCCAGCGTGTACACTTGTCTTTTGATTTCAATAAATAAGAAACAGTTTGCAGCCCTCCTTCCTCTTTAGTTCAGCCTTAAAGCCCTCCTCCTTCTCCTCTCCCCTTTCTAAATGTGGTGTGTTTATATTTAAAAGTGGGAAGAAGAGGCAAAGTGGGGTTTGTTTGTTTTTTTACTCCGAATTAGATCCTGTTTGCCATCTTGTAAAATGAGCTGTCTTCTGAACAATTTCAACTGGTTCTTCTCCCAAGCCCTTCCAGGCTGCCGAGAACAGAGCAAAATCACCCCATGTAAATCTCTGCCTCCAGAGAGGTTTTCATTGCCACACAACATTGAAAGCTTTGTCATTTGATGTTTGCCCAGCACTTTTCCTGTAAACCACAAAGGAGGGAATCCCCCTCTCCCTCCAGTCAGCTTGTTTATTCTTAGCCTCTTATCTGCACAGTGTGATTTCTTTGCTCAAAGTTCAATGGTTTGGTGAATAGCTGAATGCAGAGGAGCTTATTTCTTAGTAAACAAAACATAAGATTGGGTCACATATGCTGCACTGCTCAAACCATTCTAATATGCCTGGGCAGCTACTTCAAACAGAGAACATGTTTGCATTCTCCCTTGGAAACCACGCCGTAGGGCACCTGAGCTGCCATTGCTAAAACAGAATGCAGCATAAAAATATTGTGTGACAACCTTGACTTGGTACAGTTGTGCTTTAATAGTACCGGTGCCTGGTCAGGGAAAGAGTGATTGCAGCATGGGTTGCAGGAACACTTTTGCAACCCAAAAAGAGGATGCAGAGTTGCTGATGGTAACACTTCTTCTGAGTCTCGTACATATGGGGCAGACTCAGTTCTGCTCTGCTTGAAATGCTGGCATGGCATCAGTAAGCGTTCCTTTCCTGCTCTTTTCAGGTGGCAGAAGGGTGGTGCATAGCAGATTTTACTGCTAATGAGGGTTAAGTAGTAGTAGTTGGTTCCAGTGCCATGCTTGGAAAATTGCAGAATATATACATCCCATGTTGCATTCCCTCTGAAAAATTTAAAAAAAAAATCCAAATTTGAGGTCTCTTGGAGAAAACACAGAAGCCAAGCCTAGCTTCCCAACAACTGTTAAGATTTCTACAGGGTTTCTAAGCAGGTTTATAGGCCAGCCTACCTGACAATTGGGTACAGAAGAACCACGCCCCCTATGTTTCTTTGAAATCCTATAAGCTTTAATGTGGAAAAGATCCAGCTGTTGAATAAAGTCTTTTCGCAATCTAGACCCCTCCATGTGTATTGGACATCTTAATGCATGAAGTCTCATATCTACAGGGCAGTCAATGCCAGAATTGTTGTTAGTTGCGAAGTCATGTCCAACCCATCGCGACCCAATGGACAATGTTCCTCCAGGCCTTCCTGTCCTCTACCATCTTCTGGAGTCCATGCCAGAATACTATGCTGCTTTTTGCCTGGGACCATTCTTTCACAAGTAACTGTCTTTGTGTGCCATTTTTACTGCACCAACATGCACTAGACCTCTAAAATTCAGTTGGAAGTGGAAACAGCAACATTTATTTTATTTCTAGATATTCTGTTTATTTAAACAGAATATCTAGAAATAAAATGGTCTTGCAAGCCAAAATGGCTTATCTTCCCAGTAATAAGAATGTTAAGATCCCTACCATTAAGATGGACTTTTCTAGTGATGAAAACACTTTTAACATCTTTAAGCATTTCGTAATCATTCATGTATTGACCTTTGTTGTTTTTCTACTGACTAAAGTAGCAACATCATCAACAGACATTTCCATTTAATGGAAATACAATACTATAGTACTTGGTAGCTAATAAACTAACATGGCATGAAGATACAATACTATAGTACTTGGTAGCTAATAAACTAACATGGCATGAAGGAATACAATACTATAGTACTTGGTAGCTAATAAGATAACTAGTACTTGGTAGCTAATAAACTAACATGGCATGAAGGAATACAATACTATAGTACTTGGTAGCTAATAAACTAACATGGCATGAAGATACAATACTATAGTACTTGGTAGCTAATAAATTAACATGGCATGAAGGAATTTGAGATCACCGAAGGAAAATATACTATATCCCAATAAGAGCATCATTTCCAAATTCTTAGGGTAGGACAATAACATTGGTTATGCCAAAACAACAACAACCACATGATAAGATTTTGAAGGAATATGTTGAAGATTTTTAAGCTAAATATGAAACTTTAATTTTTTAACCTACTATCTAAGCACATGTAGGTGTTCTAAGCTTGATCTGGAAGATGGAATAATTTAAAAACAAAACTAAAGTTCTTCTTTTCCATGTGCTACAAATGAGCAAGATCTCAATTCTTCTATTGTCCACTCCTTTTGGTTTTATCTAGTTGCACTTAATGTGATTCTAGAATGTCAAGGAGATAGTCCCCTTTGAAGATGAGAATCACAGAAACCCTCTTACCTGTCCTACCAAGTTTTTATATAGCTTCCAATGAGCCTGAAGCCAAAGCCTGCTTTGCATTTCTATTTCTTCTTGGTCTTTACTAGTCCTTTCTCCACCAAGCTGCGATAAAGTTCCTGGATATAGGTGTAGATGCACTTATTATCAGGAACACTCATGTGCACCATGTCATCCACCTCCAGGAGTTGAGCACAGTCTGCATATTTCCTGGAAAAAAAGATGGACAAATGATCAACTCTGCTGCATACCTCAATGATTTGGCAAAGCAGCTTGAATATAGCCCTTCATCACCAGAATTAACAAGAATTAACAAGCCTTATTCTAGAGAATTGGACCAGGATGCAAAGATTTCCAAAATCACAGTGAAGTCCAAGAAGGTAGTTAATTTGAACCTCTTGCCTGTTTAAGTTGAATAGATTTCATTATAGCACAAGAGCAACACTTAAGACACCATAAATCACTGAAATTAACTATTTTGAAACTCTGGGTTACATATTACAAATGCAGAACCTACTCTTGCTTTTGATTATCTGACTATCATTTTCCTTTGTCCAATTATCTAGCAAGGGCTCCTGCTTCTTCAAGGCTGGCTATTCAAAGGCTTTAAATTCTTTCCTTCAGAGCTTAATGTTATCTTGAAGCTTGACATTTATTCAGCATCATCAGTACATTAATTGATTTAGCAATTTTTTAAGGGGTGTCCTCAAAGAAATTATTGTTGCTGCTTCGTTTGCGTCTGTTATGTTTTAAAAATGTGCTGCTTTCCTTCATACAGCAGATAATTACCGATTATTATTTATGATGGTTGTATGCTACCTCCAAGTTCAGAGGTACAATAGTGTGCATGTCAATACCACCACTGAAGGACAAGTGGGAGGTTGCTACTCAAGATTTATGTTTAACTATTGAAGAACACAGCTCTGGTCTAGATTAGACTTCAATCTGATCCAGAGGACACTTAGGTTGTTATGATAATGTGCTTGAAGGTGTGTTGATTTCTTGAAATTTCCTGTTTTATCATGCTTAACAGTTGAAGGTTGATCAGCTAAGACATAACTAATTTTTCCTTGTGAAACAGTCCCTACAGTGTTAAAGGAAGCAGTTGTCAAAAAACTCCTTAGCTAGCAAACCTCACTAATATGTCCGTTATAACTATTTCTTTTTGAAACAAGAGTTGCTAACAAATAAAAGATAATAACTCCAGGCTTTTAAAATTCTACAGATTGGTTTCAAGCTTAGCGTTGGGCTGATTTTTTTTTTTTTTAATCTCTGTTCTGATATTGCTAATTCTCATAGATGTTCTGTAGCTGGATGTTTCAATAATTCTGACTATAGTTATATTCTTGGTCCTGGCTATCTGAGAAGGAATATGGGTCAACCCAAAGAAGTTGGGAAACTAATAGCAGATAACTTTATGGATTGGAGAAATAAAAGTCAGTCTCTTTGTAAAACCCTGTATTCTTTTAAAATTCAGATTCTCAGCTTGATGGATCTGTGTGAATTTTAGCTGGCGATGTCTAACTGCTAGGTAGGAGCAAAAAAAAAAAAACATTTGTCATTGGCAGACACCCCTGAATACTGTAAAGATAACTAGGCCATTGTCATCTATGTTTATCTTACAGCAATAAGATTAGACTATTGCAGTCTGCTGCATGTAGGGTTGCCTAGGGAGATTTTTTCACAAACTTTAAAACTGATCCAAAATATTGCTGCTAAATATAGATAGGATTGGTGGTTTGGACTCCGACTGGGTGGCCCCGGGGGAGGTGACAGGAGCAGGTCTTGAGACCGTTATTTGGGAGGAGTTTGACTCTGTGACTCCCGATGACGTGGACAGCGTCCTGGGGAGACTGAGTGCAGCCACATGTTTGCTGGATCCGTGCCCCTCCTGGCTGGTGCTGGCGGCCCGGGAGGGTACACGAGCCTGGCTTC